CTTAGTTGCGCACACAAATTTTTAGAGTTCTAGGCTACCGCAATCGCGCGGTTACGCGTAGCGCGTAGGAATTCAATACTCTTGCCTTGGACTTGATGTTGGATTTTTCTGGTGAGTAATTCCTCTTGATCTAGTTTTCTGTTTTTTAGTGCTAGATCTAGACCTACAGCTAGACCTAATCATGAATCAATAAAAAGGATGAGGTATATAAAACAAATATGGACTGCTCTGTAATCAGATGATGGTGGGAACTACCACTCCCTCGGTGGTGTTCACACCGGCCCTTCTATCACCCCCTCGGCTTCGCCTCGGGGGTGATAGAAGGACCGGTGTGAACACCACCTTGGGAGTGATAGTTCCCACCATCATCCTCATGAGCAGTCAATATTTGTATAATATGTTAGAGGCTGTTCAGACCGGCAGAGATAGCGCGGTGTAGCGCGCGCTAGACCGCTCTATCTCTGCGGTGTTGAAGGTTCAACGTCGTTTCGGTCCGCCCAACAGCGAGCCACGGCGAGCCAAAACGGCTTGCCACTGGAGCACCTCTTGGGGGTAGTCCACGAGAGATAGCGCGGTCTAGCCATATTTTGCCCAGGTGATTTTTTTTTTAATTTACATGTTTTTGTATACAGTACAATAACATAAAATCTTTTCGATAAAATTCCAAAACACAGGAAAAGCTTACATTAGCAAAGGAAAATCATGTACCGTATGTTGTTACATGACCTTGGAGAAGAGGGATAGAACGGACAGTCAGAGTACAAACGAAGCAATGGTTATTACAATGATTACATTTTAATAATTTAAGCTTGATTCATTTAACTGCTATCATAATATGGGGGGTAAAGACATAATACTTTACTGAATCCATTATACAAACTTGTGTTTTCTACCCAGACTACCCGGGTGCCAGTCATTAAAAATAATCTTTGACACCATTGCCCAAGTGGTACAGTATTTATTATCCCCGCATGATGATGAACATTCAAGTGTGCGCTGGGTAACGTCTAATTATCATGGGCGGATGAAGAAGAAAGATATCATGATTTCTGACCTTCCTACCAGGCAAAATTAGTCTTCCTCCCTCTCAGCCATTGATAATTCATATATGTTTTCCAACGCGCTAAGGTTTGTAACCTTTACACTATTTCGGGTTTAGACATAGATCTACGTGTACATCGAATCTGCTTTATCTCCGGTACAATTTTTTTTTTTTTTTTACATCTAGGCTCCCCAGGTCTCGGTCATTAACAATTATCTCTATGATGCAGTATCCGGCCGCGTGAACAATATAATAACAGTTTTCAAAGAAAGTAAGTTTCTGTTCTGTGTAAATAAGTCCTTCCTTGCAGGATATAGACGCTTGTGATACCACTTATCAATACGTGAATGGCAATGAACATGATTAAAGGAAGTAAAAGGCTACATCATTGATCTTTTTAAAGTACCATTATTAACAACCGGGATAAAGCAAAGGGGTGTAGGAGGTAATTTGTTTTAAGAACAGTTCGTGTGTGAATATAATACAATCTTTCTGATAAAATACGTCTGCAATCTCATAACTTAACTATTTGAGAGATAATAGAACGTATCTCACTTTCTTTTTCACTAACAGTTTTAGTCGTATTCAGGAGGAAGGGTTTTTTTTTCTAGAGACGTACCAATTTGTCAAACAATATTTGGTAGTAATTCGGCAAATAGGGTGTATCTTAAAGAATTACAAACACACGCCCTTTTTCCGAATTTACAGCCGACCATTATTTTATACGCCCTTTTGCCTGACCGACAATTGCTCTGTGAGGACAAAAATGTGTTATTTTCCAACTGTTTAGTTGTTAATAGGATATCGTGGTTCAACTATAGCCTGTATCTTTCTGTAATGATGTGTATCATATATTTCAGTACAAATTGAGCACGAAGAGAATTGTGAATAGATAGTAAGAATCATTTGAAGAAGAAAAAAAGTCTTTTCAACTATAGGATGCGCTCTCCCGCTTAAGCGGTGTTACTTTGATAAGAGGGCGTATCTTACTTACACCCATTTCCCCTCAAAGATGTTTCTGTTGGCCAAAAGGATTTATCTTTAGTTACATCCAGGAGTAAACACCTTGGATACTAATTTGAGAAACTAGCTGGTTATTTTGTCTGAAGGATAATGTTGTCCACGTAACAATCATTTCCGATGAGTGTCAACGTATGTTGGGACATTTAAAGACAAAACAACCATAGAAATATAAACATATGCTCTCACACAGGATAAAGTTCACTTTAAAACAATCGTGGAAGTTAGAAATGCGAAGAGAGATTATATTCTTGTATGTCCCGGAAATATTTTATCCCAATATTTATGAAGTCGGGGAAACAGTGCATTCGTTGTTACAGTGTTAAATAGTTACAAACAGTACGTACATACTCAAATCATACATATTACGGTGACGTCATGACTAGTATTAGCAACAAGCACTTGCAATTTTAGAAATATTGATTGAACACTCACGTCACGTTTTAGTAGACGTGATCATTCGTGTTTTACTGGCGTGGAAAACAACGAATAGTAGGCCCTACACTTCGAAAATAAGAGTCACCTATTTTACGAAACAGCGCAAAACGTGAACGTGACACGTGATACGTGATACGTGAGTGTTCGTTGCAAACCGTTGCCCCCCCCCCTCGGTTTGAGATTTGGTTGTTGATTTTTATCTCAACCCCTTACTTTTGTGTGTGTCTTTCTCTCTCCTTCGCACACACACCCTCACACACACACACACACACACTCATCTCTCTCTCTCTTTCTTTCTTCCTCTCCCTCTGTCCCCCTCTGTCTCTCTCTCTCTCTCTCTCTCTCACACTCTCTTTTATACACACACACCCTGTCTCTCATGCATACCTCTCTCATTTGCGCCTCAATAGCATCGGTAGTCTTTGAATGATAATGGTCACAGGATGTCACATTGCCTTAAAAGGATGTCACATGTAGCAGTCCACGTTCTCGTCCCTATTGATATAATGCTTTCTTCGTCTCACTCGGCAAGAGATATGCATTCACTCATCTGGTTCTCTGGCAAAGCCCCTCGTGTGTTTTTCTTCTCGGATGGAAAAGGTCTCCTAACAAAAGGCACCTTGCACATTCTACGCTCGACGCACCTTTTTCATAGAGCGCGAATCTTACAGCAAACAAATACTCATCTTATATTAACCGTAGAAATTAGACAATTTAATGCTCTATTATACGTAAATGTATCATTATTTTGTCTATTTTCATTTAGACGTACTTCCTCATATTCGATGTACATGTCATTGGATTCAGTTCCTAAAGTTATCAACTACAATTACTCTAAGCCTGCAAATCAGTGTGCCTCCTTCAACCTAGTGTTCGTAATCATTATCAAGAACTAAACAAGAAACCTATCGGATTAAAGCATGTCGAGGCATAGCCCCCCCCCCCCACTCTCTATCTCTCTCTCTCTCTCTCCTTCTCTCTCCTTCTCTCTCGCCCACGCACACACGGACAAATACACACACAAGCATTATCTTCTCTCTCACTCTAATACTGTACTATTCTTTTTGGCCCCATGCCAAGCATGATTATGATTTGCACAATAACTAATGTTATGTATGACCTACTTGGCAAGAGATATTTATTTAATTGTCCGTTTGCCTACTTACCATAAGTTCTGAACAGTGGTTTCGTTTTGGAATGGAACAGAACCCTTATAATTATAATTACCCAGAGTTAACACACGCATAGTCTCAGGACTCTAGCCACATTTCATGCAGTTGTGATTGACCATATTAAATGAAAGCTATTTTCCGTTTTTAATCTTGGAATTTTAATTGCGAAGGACATTTTGCTACTTTCTAATTACCGTTTCATTAACAGACACTAAGTTCTAGTCAGTTTCCGTATGTTACCGTCTAAAGTGCAATTATATATGTAGCATACTTTACAGGGGAACGCGGTTTTAGAACCATTTCATTTCTCTCTTCCTCTCTCTTTTCGTTCTCTCTCTTTGTCTGTCTCCCTCCCGCCTCTCTCTCTCTCTCTCTTTTACTCTCTCTCCTTCTCTCTCTCTCTCTCTCTCTCTCTGTCTTCTCTATCTCCCACCACCACCCCTCTCTCTCTCTCACTCTCTGTGTGTGTCTCTTTCTTTCTTTTTGATGTGACATGATTTTGTGGCATGGCTGTATAATAAATTATATGAAAGTAAGTTTTAACGATTAAGACCGCTTGTTAGCAGGATTTGCATGTACGGATATTTCGGTTACATGTCGGTTTTACGAAAAGTCATTATTCTGGAAGGTTGGACATTATTAAGTTTGTAGTGGGATTCATAATTCCTATTATGAAGAAAAAATATTTTATGAAGAACAAATTTAGTTGTATGTTGAAAGGCAGGTCCGGGTAAATGACCGAGCAATCCAGTTGTCCAAGAAGACTTGAAAGAGATGAAAACGAGAAAAGACGAATATAATAGAAGGAGTATCAAATGAAAAGGGAGAAAAGAAAGGAAATTAGGAGGTGGGGGGGGGGGGCTGAGCAGAGGATGAGGCGGTTTATAGACAGATTGAAATACAAATACCCCCCCCCCCCCTGCACGGTCCCACATACAGGAACTATATTCTTTTATATACCTCACTTAAGAAATCCAGCCATCTGATTGGTCGAAATTGCATTCATAAACTTTAACTATTTCTGTAAAATTCCCAGTAACCATGGTTACCGGGAAAAAAGTTCAGTCTCCATGGTTACCCCATAGGTTTACATGTTAACAAATGGTCTGAGCGATCGAGGATACCGTACGTGTGCGAAAAATTGATCGGTTATTTCAATACAATTGAATCTCGATCGATCTTACCGACAATTCAAAGATTCGACAGATTCAAAAGTATTAGTCACTGCTAATTTAGTAAGTATATATATTCGAAAGGGGTCTACTAGTTGTTATCCAAATATCTCCCAGTTCACTGATTTCTGCTGTTTCTTCAAATCTGTCATACAGCATCTGGATGTCACCATGCCTGTGTCTGTCGGTGAGTAGCGTGTCAGGATCGGCACGTTTACACGTTGGCGGAAGAAAGAATATGACTACAATTACTTTTGGAGTAAACTTGTCAACTTGATCAAAAAAGCCAAGAATGTTCAGTCACCTGAAGAAAACAACTCAGAATGTAACACTTCGCCTCGCACTCCTCAGACTCGGTCACAATGTGACGGTCCTGAGTGTGATGATGTCAAGGAGAGTGGATCCTCATGTGATGTAAAAAGCCCCGGACCTAACGAGGTTTCTCACTCTGAGTCTTCGTGTGCTGAAAACAGTAGCTCTCCAACAGCAAATGAGACCAACCCTGTCCGTGATACCACTGACGTTCAGAACCCAGTTACCCGACCCTGTGTAGAAGACGAATTGGACAATAGACATATAACCATCAATCTAGTGTCACATGAATACCACCCTAATTCCGCCCAAATAATTGAACCACCTGAAGTTGTCCCATCAGAATCGTACTCACATGTACCTGCAGCCATCGGAGTTGAGACAGATCATATCCAAATAGACGAGGAGGATGCATCAACCTCTGCGCGGTCAGTGAAAGAGGACCAATCATCAGGCTTGTCACCTAAACTAAGGCAAGATACAACTAGAAACACCGAGCAAACAACACCATCTATCAGGGTATGATTGATATTTATATATATTTCCCAGAACAACCCCTTTCCCATTATAACAAAAAAAGACAGACGAAGAAGAAAACAAATATGAGAAATATAAATAATAACAACAACTGCATACAATTCTTCTTGCACATATTTTTTTTTAATAGGACACGGAAACTTGCAAAATTAGAGCTATACAAAATGTTTTATAAAAGACAGTTTGATTGTTTCAATTTGCTATGGATTGTTATGATTTGACGTTATTTGCACTATAATCAGTGGTAAAAGTGCCCTTTACCCTTTCACGGAATTCTTATTCTCACCCGAATCAACATGTATATTTTGACAAATAACGTCTAATTATTCTTTTGAAAATTGTCTTCTGCCCATCAATGTCATTAAGGAATTAACGGAATACCATGAAACATTTTGTCCAATGACTACATGGACACCATTCTATCACCTGTCAGTGATGTTAGAAATGTTAAAATAAATTAGAAACCATTGATTAAAAAAAACCGCCAGAAATACAATGTGGCACTAGGATACTATCTCAGTATGGCTTGTTCATAGTTTGCAGAGTTAAAAGTGTGTTCTCTATTCGTAATTTTCTCTTCGTTCTTAGGAAGTAACGGAAAACCACGGATCACCGACCTATCCGTCCCCCTATCAGGGACAACCACTAGTGAAGCAGATGCAATCAAAGGAAATGACCGTCCAGACATGACCAACATACTCCTATTGAGATCCGGTGACGTAGAACGAAACCCTGGTCCAAATGATAAGTAAGCAGCATGAAAGAGCATCTTTGGAACGTTAAAATACTTTTTTTTTTTAAATTAAACTGAGCTCTAATCCGAGTCTACGATTACGTTTAAATGAAGGACAACTTAATAAGGCTAATTGTCTTTGTTAAACCCGATTCTGAACAAAACCTTTAATCCACCATCAGGTTCAATTCGTGATTAGTAGAATACAGGTCATTGAGTTTGCTGGTAAAAATAATCTTTGGATTCGAAAAATGGAACCAAAAGGGAAGACGTTTTCCATATTCTCGTTATGTTTGACAGGTAGATGTCGTAATATTTGTACAGTATTTGTCTAGTACTTGCATTACAGGTGACGATATCAATTAATATTTATAATTCAATGCAGTAAAACACTGTATTCGCAAGTCAAAGGAGCAAGACAAAAGTACTCTTAATATAAACTTTCACAAATATCTATGAGCGCTTTATGAAATTAATCATTTTTCTTATGTCTATAATTTAGCTCTGGCAGTCTGACCGAGCTCGAGTTCTATCTCCTTGCCGAAGGTATAGATCCCTCAGATTTTAGGAAGGTCGGACTGGCTTTAGGATTCACTGAGGCTAAACTAAGTCAGTTTGAGAAGGACAAGCTGGGCAACTCCATGCTAGCTACCTATCAGATGCTTTGCGAATGGCGGAAGACAGTACGTGAAAGTGAGGCGAGGGAGACATTGGTCGACACGTTAGAAAGCATTAAGCTGGTACAGCTTGCTGATAGTGTACGAACAGGTAATAATGATAATAGTGGGTTCATGATTGTAAAGCGCTCATGTCTGTATAACTTGACATTCCTGGCGCTCTACAATTTATGATCCTGGCTCTTAAATAGCAAGGTTGCCATTACAGCAACTGTAAAGTTCGAGTCCCGCCATGGCCTTAATTTCTTAAGTACATTCACCAACTAGATGAATGGGTGCCGCGGGCAGGAATTAATTCCTTGAAATGCTAGAGCACCATAATGGCAGCCATGTTAAACACGATGTAATTATTGTCTAGTGTGTAAAGTTAGACATGAGCGCTATACAAGAATCTATATTATTTAGCACTGTATGCTAAATCTATTAGTACCACTGCGTATTCCATTTAAACATAGCAGCAAAGTGAGGAGTCTTGGAATATTGGAATATTTAACATTTATTTTAAGGGAGCAGTGTGTCCTCACTTTTTTTGGATACTGCATAATAATGTATATAATATACATATACATGTACATATACGTATATATATATATATACATTTTATTTAAAGAGATAAAGAGAGAGGGGGGCAATTCAAGGGTAATTTCTTTCATGCATCACTGACCTAAATATAGTTTCATTAGAGAAATGTATCACGTTAGTAGCGCCACTAGAGTTTGGATCAGACTAAATATGTAAGCAAATTCCAAAATACGCGGTAACGTATGGGACCAAATGCCTTCGATTGTCATATTCATCCATATGGATAAACAGTTACAAAAGAGGAATCTCCGTCTAGCAAAACAGGGAAATAGAACGTGTTTTGATAGATGCATTTTATTAGTTCATAGATTATACGAATAATAATCCAGGGGCGTAGCTTTTGAAACTAGAAATCGTTTTTATCTTCTTTAGTATAAAATGCACACGATCATGCATATTTAATATGACGCTTACCGCAAGCTTTGCTCAATAGAATATTGTATAAAACCCGACCAGATAACCAGAAAGGCCTTACATCTTAGCATCGACCCGAGTAACCTTTCCCTGTGGCAGTGACATCAGGGCACGATGTCAATCCAGTAATCAATGTGACAGCCCCTATCTAGGAAATAAATGATTTCTCAGCGATTGATCATAATCCACAAGCAAATTTAAATTGAGATGTGGGAATTTACGTATATTGATATAACATTTCTGTGATGTATGGTTAATGTACTTTGGGGGGAGGATTGCTCTTTTTTATATTGTTTTATCTTTAAACACAACGTTTTTGTCTAGTAACTTTAGAAACAACTTTCTTTACCATCTCATCACAGGTCAGGTCGGTGATCACATACCCTCCATGACAGAGGAGGAAATCCAACGGGTTGCTGAAGAGGTCAAACGCTATTATGAAATTAATCTCTGTCAGATTCAAGCTAATCCACTGAACACCGAGCTTACCGTTAAATTAGAACAGATCTTCACCAATCTAACGTTAATGGAAGAAGACAAAGGTACCAAGCACAAAACACCGCTTCTATACGATGACCTCCTCAAGACGAAAGTTAACGGGAACTATCCTAAACGCTTGTTGGTTGAAGGTGAAGGTGGTGTAGGGAAAACCACTTTCTGCGCCAAGATCGCTTGGGACTGGATCCACGGAAAAGGATATCAAGATTTCAAACTGGTTCTTGTCGTCCTCCTTCGCGAAGCAGAGGACAAGACTGTGGGAGAGATAGTGAAGACGTATCTTTCTGACAACAATCCGGTCACAGCTAAGCAGCTAGACAAGCACATCCTCTCAAATTCGGATGAAGTCTTTCTTGTCCTGGACGGCCTAGATGAGTCTACTGTCGATCTTAACAGCAATCAGCAAGTCGCCCGGATCACTTCCAATCGTCTGTTCAATTCAGGGACAGTACTAATAACATCGCGACAATGGAGATCAGATGAGATTAGGAAGAATGCCAATCTCAGAAAGGTGTTTGCTTTCATTGCTGTGGAAGGTTTCTCTGTTGAAAACCTCTCTTCCTACATCACCAAGTTCTTTCATCCAGACACAGCTTCCTCTGAAGATCTAAACCTATTCATATCAAACAACGATGTGATCAGAGAGAACATGGCCCCCTATCCCATATACACAGCCATGCTGTGCATAATGTGGAAAGAATTTGATGGAGAGCGCCGAGAGGCAATGTCCAAGCTGCAAACATTCTCCCAGCTATTTGATGAGATGATCCACTTTTTGGTTGATCATTACCTATCGAAGCACATTCCATCTCCAGGTATTGTTGAAGGCAAATTAAGGGAACATCGTTCAGATATTCGTCATCACCTACTTCAGATTGGCCGCGTTGCCTTCCAGGGTCTTCTGGAAAGACGGTTGGTATTCACAGAAGAAGAGTTTCAAAGCTGTCCAGAGTCTATAGATGTAGGTTGCAAAGTTGGTGCGCTCACCAGAGAAAAGAAAGTTCTTCCGAGGCGAGACAGAAGAACTAATCCAAATTTAGCAGTTCAATCGGTGCAGTTCCCTCATAAGCTCTTCCAGGAATATCTATCAGGAATTTATCTTGCATCTCTTTACAACTCAAACCGTAATGAGTATGACGGGTTGGTGGCGAAAATCATAACTAAAGCAAGAGAATACCGCTACCTCCTGTACTTCACCTCGGCCCAGCAGAAGGAGATCGGATTGGATATCGTATCACATCTCACAGCAGGAAAAAGAAAGCGTAGACATGATGATGACTTCGTCGTAGATGTAGCATACGAGAGCCAAGACCAAACAGTGGCCAAAGCAGTGGCGGATCATCTCTCTTCTGAGTCCAGCAAGACACTGAAGATCACTGAGGAGATGCAGGCACACACAGTATCAGGGCATATCTTCATCATGAATCATCGTGAAGTGGTAAGGAAAGAAACGTCGAATTTTTGCAACTTAGACTTAGGATAACGTCGTTTGGTTTGAACACTTAACTGTATACATATACCCTGTATACTAACGATGCGCAACGCGTTCTGTATAAACTTCTCTTCACCCAAATGTTGAAAAGAAGCTTGATACAATCAATTTTCTTGATGCATGTTCTATGGATCTAGTGTGGGTGCAACTCTGATTATCATTTTTTATCTGAAAATTGCAATGTACACGAATTTTGTTTCACTATTATTATCTACAAGAGTTAATAAGTATTAGGATTTAAGTCTTTTAATAGGAGTTGCGATTTATTGTTATTGTAGCACAACCGATCTTGTGTGTATTTGCAATGAAATCTTGTTTAATAATATAACACTTTTAATATCACGAACTCCAATAGGATTTGCACGTGCATACTGTTCAAACCAGTAGGATAAAAAGCCAACTTGAATTATTATGAGATAACGTACAGAACTCAGTAAAGTTTACATTTGGTAGGATCAGAATAATTCCTTTCAAATGCAAAGTGTTATTTTAAAGTTATTTGATGTTCTTCGTGAAATATAGATTTTTGAAAGCAGAATAAAAACCAAAGGGAAATGGAAGGAAAAAAAACATATAAACAAAATCAGTTTCTATTAAGGTGACTAATAAGGATAATATGGTATTATTTTTATGATTTACGTTTCTAGCCTCACAATATTATTTGTGTTCATGTACATTGTAGGATCATCTGACTATTGAGAAGACATGTGGACGGACGGCTTCAGAGGACCTGGCTGAATACATGTGCTCATCACGTACACTGAGATCTGTGACGATCAGTCGTACTATGCATGATGTCTTCTACTCGGTGCTTGTGAATAAAGCAGTCGATTCCAAGGTCAGTATACATGTGTATTATCCACGTCCTGGTATATTTGGTACATCTTACTTTTAAAAGAAATGGATGCCATATTCAGTCAGGATAATAATTTGTCCGGTGTCATAAGATTAAATTAGGAGAATACTGGAAAATAGAGGTTTGTTTTTAGAAAAATAAATTTCAATTTCAGACTTTATCCTTTATTTAAGTACACACAAAAAGAAAAATACTCCATTAAACTATTTATATAGTACTTCTGTTTAAGCTCGTGGGTTTCCACCCCCAAAAATCTTCATCTTTGCTCGCTCTGATCATGATAGTTAATGATAGTTCATGATAGTTAAAATTTACTGTTACTTTGTATATTTTGATTTTTATATTGCGAAATAAAATTGAATTGAATTGAATTGAATGATGACCCAATTTTTCCCTAGTACACTGTTGGTTATTATGGTGGAATTATTATTTTAACCCTAAGTTATGGAATGATTTTGACAATGGGTTATTCCTCATAGAGCTAGGTAATAGTATACTCTCTCAGATTTTATTGAATAATAATGTGTTAGTGTTTGTTTTGCGAGACTGCTAAAGCATGTGTGTGCTACTATGATAATCAACTAGGGGACCTACGTCCTGAAGTCATAACTGACAGTAATGAGGATTAATGCCTGATAAAAAGGCACTTATATAGCACATCGACACGGTTTTAATCCTGGGGGCTCACAGTAACGAGGCCATTGCTTAGCTACTGAAACATGACTATACGCAGCGGGGGCTAGGGTACGTCGCCGCCACCACAAATACAAAAACAAAAAAAATGCAATAACCTATCAATAATTCATTGCATTTTGTCCCGGTCCCCAACATACAAAAATCCTCTATGTGGGCATGCCTTGAACCATAATACATTGCCCTACAGAGGAATTATTGATGATTTATTGCACTTTCTTTGTTTTGTGTATTTGTGGGGGCGGCGACGAACCCTAGCCCCGCTGCGTACAGTCATGATTCAGTGGCTAAGCAAAGGCCTCGTTATTGTGAGGCCCCATAATAAAAACCGTGTCGATCAGCTATATAAGTGCCCTTTTGTGAGGCATTAATCATCATTACTGTCAGTTATGACTTAAGGACGTAGGTCCCCTAGTTGATTAACATAGTAGCACACACATGCTTTAGCAGTCTCGCAAAACAAACACTCGCAAATTTGTATTCAATAAAATCTGAGAATGTATACTATTATTTAGATCTATTAGGAATAAATCATTGTCTTGAGGAGTTAATTTGTTCTTTATCTTCATATATTATCGATTTAATGTTTTACTTTTATTATTATTTTTACTATTTTACGTATCGTATTTCCAATTTCTCTCATTGATGTGGAACGAGTCATTTCCTTACATAAGGCGATCAAATAGTCTCGTTTGGCTTGTCTTTCGTGCTTTTGCTTTCTTTTTCAAGTAATCTTCTACGTATTCTTCAGTTTTTCTTTTCTCTGCTAAATATCTTAAGTGATTGCTTTCTTTTATACTTGGTAAATATTTTGTACCACTGTTGTGAATTCGGGCCTCCTTGTTTCACCAAGAATAAGGAATTTGTCTTTGTGTTGATTTCCCCTTTCCTGGACGTATCATTGTGATATTCAAATTTTCTACAAATATAAATTACGCTTCTTCTATATTGTGATCGCCTATAAATTTATTTATTCATGATTTTTTTTTCGAATTGATATTAGCAAGTGTCCAATTTTATTTCTTCCGGATCAATCTTTTGAAGATTATTTTGATTTCCTATTTTTATCAATAATGGAAAATCACGTCTTAAAGTTGTAAATTCTACATTCCAAGATATCTCATGTGAAAGATTTTGTAGATGAAAAGCATAAAACTAATGATGAACGCTTCGTCGCTCCGTGGATAATTCTTCATAATTCCTTCATAATTGTTGATATCAAAATGTTCGTTTTCCAACGACCAATTTGTGTGCATACTAAACAAAAAGGCGCGCCTCGGGGTGTAGCAGCGGAGGCAAATTTCCCTTGAGCGTATGGAAACAGCCAGTCCTCTCGTAGCAGTCGATTTTTCTATAATATAACATATTCTTAATTCCATATGGCAATACGGAATGCGACGGGAATGCTGATGGAGAGACGTCCATTTAAATTATGAATGCCGATGAGAATACATTTTTTCAATTTTAACTTAACCTAGAAAAATGAACAATCGAATCCCTTCATCTTTTCCTATTCCTTTGAAAACCGCAAAGTGTTTCATGTTATTTGTTTTCACACTTTTATGTTATGTAAAATCACATTTTTAAAATACTATTTCAATCAAATTTCAAAATAACCTTTTGCATTATAAATGAATGAGGATGGTGACTGTATCAAGATGTAAAGTTTAAAAACATGTTCAAGTCGAGTAATGTCAGCAATTGTTTATCCAACATAATGCTACAATTATATGAGATTCGGATTTTGGACGCTCAATATGTGGACTCCCCCCCCCCCCCCATGGAAGTGCTGATGGAGTGACGGCTATTTATTAAGAAGTGCTCATGATACAAAATATATGAATTTAAAACCTAAAAAATGAAAAATCGAATCATTTCGTTCCCGTTGTTGTGATTGTGTTTTCCATCGGAAACTGCAAAATATTTCTGAGTCTATTTTCACACATTTGTGTTACGTTATTATGAAATAAAGATTTTCAAAGTAATATCTCTATCAAATAATGTGTAAAAGTAACGTATTGCTTGTGTTAGTGAATGAGGGTGGCGACTGTTTCATCATGTAATGTTAGATATAATTCAGTATAGTAATGTCAGCAATTGTTTATCCAACATGTTGTCGTATTATTACAACAGATTGAGACTCTGGACATCCGCTCTGGTGATCTCAGTGATCGTCCCGATGCATCGAGTGATCTCGCTCAGTTCATCTGTAAGATGCCTCATCTAAAGAACCTGACATTCGGTGATTCCTGTCACGATGACTACTACTCAACATTATCAGCGATGGCATCATCAGTAGAGGTATTAGTTCGGTCATATATTTTAGGACTCTAAGAAAATCACTACATACTTGTTATACTTGAAGTGTACCCTTTTCTATATTGTCAAACGCAAGTGTACGAATCCACTCTCCCATTTAGTATACCATTGAGAGGTAGCAGGGAGGAAAAGTTGAATGTTTATGGACGTGGAAGTGAACAGTGAACTTTCTGCCATAATACAAAAATCACACTGAAGATTTTATCATGGATGGTGAATAATATATGATAAACCATATTTTTAATTTCATATGACAATTCGGAAAGCGACGGGAATGCTGACGTAGAGACGTCTATTGTAATTGTGAATGCCGATGAGACTAAATTATTTAAATTTAGAAACCTACACAAATGAAAAATAGAATCCCTTCGTCTCTTCTATCCCTTTTGAAACCGTAAAAAGTTCCATGTTTATTTGTTTCACACTTTTATGTTATGTAAAATCAGATTTTCAAAGTACTATTGCAATCAAATTTCAGAATAACGTTTCGCATTATAAAGGAACGATGATGGCAATTGTATCAAGATGTAAAGTGTAAAAACATGTTCAGTCAGCATTTGTTTATCCAACAAAATGCTACAATTATATCAGATTGGGACTTTGGACACTCAATATGTGGACCCCTCCCCCCCCCCCCTATGGAAGTGCTGATGAAGTGACGGCTATTTTGATTAAGAATTGCTCATGATACAAAAAATATGCATTTAAATCCTACAAAATGACAAATCGAATCATTTCGTTCCCGTTGTTGTGATTGTGTTTTCCATTGGAAACTGCCAAATATTCTGAGTCTATTTTCACATATTTGTGTTACGTTATTATGAAATAAAGATTTTCAAAGTAATATCTCTAGCAAATAGATTGTAAATGTAACGTATTGATTTTGTAAGTGAATGAGGTTGGCGACTGTATCATCATGTAATGTTAGATATTCTTCAGTATATTAATGTCAGCAATTGTTTATCCAACATCATGTCGTATTATAACAACAGATTGAGACTCTGGACATCCGCTCTGGTGATCTCAGGAAATGTACCGATGCATCAAGTAATCTCGCTCAGTTCATCTGTAAGATGCCTCGTCTGATGAACCTGACACTCCGCGGTCAGTATCACGAAGACTTCTACTCAACATCATCGGCGATGGCATCAACTGCAAAGGTATTGATTTGGTCCTATATTTTAGGATTTAAGAAAATCACTTAATATTTGTTATACTTCAAGTGTGCCCTTTTCTGTATAGTCGCAAGGAAGTGGATTATTTTACTCTCGCAATTGGTACACAGTTGAGAGGAAGCAGGTAGGACAAATTAAATGTTCATGGACGTGGAAGCGAAAAATAAACTTTCCGTCATAATACAAAGACATACTGAAGATCATCAGATTGATAACGATTAACATATACCGTATTTTACATTTTATATGACAATTCGGAATGCTACAGGAATGCTGCTGGAGAGACGTCCATTTAAATTGTGAATGATGATGAAACTTAATATTTTAATTTAAAAACCTAAAAAAATAAAAAAAAATTGAATCCCTTTGTCTCTTCTATCCCTTTGAAACCGCAAAAAGTTCAATATTTATTTGTTTTCACACTTTTATGTTATGTAAAATCAGATTTTCAAAGTACTTTTGCAATCAAATTTCAGAATGACGTTTTGCTTTGTGAATGAATGATGATGGCAACTGTATCAAGATGTAAAGTGTAAAAACATGTTCAAGTCGAGTAATGTCAGCAATTTTGTATCCAACATAAATGCTACAACATCAGATTGGGACTTTGGACACTCAATATGTGGACCCCCCCCCCCCCTATGGAAGTGCTAATGGAGTGACGGCTATTTTAATTAAGAATCGCCGATGATATAAGAAATATGTGAATTCAAAACCTACCCACAAAAATAAAATCTAATCATTTCTTTCCCGTTGTTGCGATTACGTTTCCCATCGGAAACTGCCAAATGTTCCGTGTCTATTTTTCACACATTTGTGTTACGTTATTATGAAAAATGATTTTTAAAGTAATATCTCTATCAAATAAATTGTAAGAGTAACGTATTTCTTTTGTACGTGAATGAGGTTGGCGACTGTATCATCATGTAATGATAGACACAATACAGTATAGTAATGTCAGCAATTGTTTATCTAACATCATGTCGTACTATTACAACAGATTGAGACTCTGGACATCCCCTCTGATGATCTCCGTGAACGTCCCAATGCATCGCGTAAACTCGCTCAGTTCATCTGTAAGATGCCTCATCTGAAGAACCTGACACTCAATAGGGGGTACGAGGTCTTTCTTCACGATGACTTCTACTCAACATTATCGGAAATGGCATCATCAGCAAAGGTATGGATTCGGTGATACATTTTAGGACTCTAAGAAAATTACTACATATTTGTTATACTAAAAGTGTACCCTTTCCTATATTGTCAAACGCAAGTGTACGATTTTACTCTCGTAATTGTTAAGATGAAGCAGGTAGGAAAAGTTAAATGTTCATGGACGTGGATACGAAAAGTGAACTTTCTGTCATAATACAAAAACAGTCTGAAGATTTCAACAATGCTGGTGACTAGTATATTATATAACATATTCTTAATTCCATATGATAATTCGAAATGCTACGGGAATGCTGATGGAGAGACGTCCATTTAAATTGTGAATGCCAATGAGACTAAATTATTTCAATTTAAAAACCTTCAAAAATGAAAAATCGAATCGAATACATAAAAAAAAATTGAGTCTCTTCGTCTTTTTTAGGCATTTGGAATTTGCAAAGAGTTCCCTGTTTATATGTTTTCACACTTTGATGTTATGTAAAATTAGATTTTCAAAGTACTATTTCCGAATCGAATTTCAGAATAACGTTTTCCTTTGTAAATGAATAAGGATGGCAACTGTATCAAGATGTAAAATGTAAAAACATGTTCAAGTAATGGCAGCAATTTTTTATCCAACATAAATGCTACAACATCAGATTGGGACTTTGGACACTCAATATGTGGACCCCCCCCCCCCCCCCTATGGAAGTGCTGGTGGAGTGACGGCTATTTTAATTAAGAATCGCCGATGATATAAGAAATATGTGAATTCAAAACCTACCCACAAAAAAAAATCTAATCATTTCTTTCCCGTTGTTGCGATTACGTTTCCCATCGGAAACTGCCAAATGTTCCGTGTCTATTTTTCACACATTTGTGTTACGTTATTATGAAAAATGATTTTTAAAGTAATATCTCTATCAAATAAATTGTAAGAGTAACGTATTTCTTTTGTACGTGGATGAGGTTGGCGACTGTATCATCATGTAATGATAGATACAATACAGTATAGTAATGTCAGCAATTGTTTATCTAACATGATGTCGTACTATTACAACAGATTGAGACTCTGGACATCCCCTCTGAGGATCTCCGTGAACGTCCCAATGCATCGCGTAAACTCGCTCAGTTCATCTGTAAGATGCCTCATCTGAAGAACCTGACACTCAATAGGGGGTACGAGGTCTTTCTTCACGATGACTTCTACTCAACATTATCGTCGATGGCATCATCAGCAAAGGTATGGATTCGGTGATACATTTTAGGACTCTAAGAAAATTACTACATATTTGTTATACTAAAAGTGTACCCTTTCCTATATTGTCAAACGCAAGTGTACGATTTTACTCTCGTAATTGTTAATAGTCCGGCAGCCATCTCGATATACCTTGTTTTAGGGTCTATAGTTTTTTTTTCGGATTATAGTTCCTTAGACCATCAATTTGAAGAATTCGATTGCTGACACTCTGTCAGCATTGAGCCATTTGAGATATGTGACGTCATACAAAATGGCCGCCAAAATCCCCTTTTTAACCAAAATTAATGATATAAAAAGTTTTAACAGCATCTTACTACATTAAATGGCAGTCAAATATCTTGATTTTTTTTCTAGAATCATCACTAAATAAAAATTGCAATGCTGTATGATCACAAATTATATGCAAATTTGCATAATTCGGAATGGCGCCCTCTATAGACACATTAACTTGCATAGGTCAAAATGATGGCCAAATACCAATTTCTAACATGAGATTATCATATGTCATGAGTCAGATGCACTGAATACAGTGAGTAAAGATTGTGCTGCACATTTGTTTTTATTTTGTAATTTGATACTCGAACAAAACACGGTTGAATTTTATGCTCTCTGTCCCATAGATATGAGGTGGCATATGGTGATAAATGCCCATTTTCAGTGACAGCGTTAAGAAACTAGATTTGTATTCTAAGGTTCTAGATTCTTTTGAATTAACCTAAAAATTACGAACTACCACTACGATACAGGACTATATCCGTTTGTAAGTTTGCTTCAAAATCTTGAAATTTGTTTAAAAGGTCTCTAAAGTGTTGGGAACCCTAAAATATTCCATGTGGAAGAGGGTGTCATTTAACACTTAATTCTGCAAAGTAAGGTCGTGACTGTAATGCGTGCTTCCATACGCATGTTTGCAAATGAGTTCTCTTAACATTTTCTACAAACGCTTCAGTAGTTTGAGGTAGTGAGGCAAGGTTTGGGGGTATTTGGAGCTCCTAGTCTTCGGACCCTTGATAGCCACACGTTGATACGAGCCTCTGACATTCAGTTGGTTGTTGACTGTCCATAACATGAAGCAAAGCATTGAGTAGGTTGAGTGATGACATATGACCATGCTGCATCAACATTGCCAACTCAGTCCTAAGGGAGTCGAATCTTCTGCTTCATCACTTTCAGCATTGTACCCTATCCAATGCCAAAGTATGCCCCAAGAGTGTCGCATCCCGTCAACGCATGTCCTGCCAACATCGATGGAATGATATCTCCTAACTTGTCTACATTGGCAGGAACATCAATAACAGTTCGATTTGTGAAGGGGCGTCTCCATGGTAATTGGCGTTTTATAAGTCCGTCATGTAGATAATGATGCAAAAGTAGTACGTAGACGTCTGTGTCATCCACTAGGCCCCTAACATACATCTTCTCATTAGCATCAATTCCAATCGCTTGCTGTTCTTTGATGTTGCCTGCTTCATCATAACTATGTTGTGGACAGACCTTTCCTTGGCATGACATCATTGCCTGGAATCACTTCAACAAGAACCTCATCTTGACGGTAAAGGCCTGCTTGTGCTTTTGCCTATTTCTGAGCACCCAATCATCCTGCAGACTCGCGCATATAATTATGATGTCGATCAACTGTAGTTTGTTGTCATGAAAAGATAGTGAAGTTAGCAACACTAGAGACACGTTTCAACAACTTCTCTCCCTAGCTTTATTGATCTTTCCAAAGCTTTTGACTGCGTACAACATAAACGCCTATGGAAGATTATGAGCTAGATGGGCTTTCCAGCACATATAATTCAACTCATCCAGTCGCTCTACCAATACCAAGAAGCAACAGTAAGAGCAGAGAATGGCGACACCGAAAGGTTCACTATTGGTCAAGTTGTCCGTCAAGGCTGCAACCTATCACCATAAATTTTCAACATCTATGCTGAATTCATCATGAGAAAGGAATTTTATGGTCAAGTTTCTGTTGGTGGACGAACGATCACTAACCTAAGATACGCCGACAATACAACACTCTCTGGCGTATTAATGGGGAAGGGTATGGGGGGGGGGAGGTTGGGGACAGTTGAACCCCCAAACAAAATTCAAACTGTTTTTTTTTATATATTCGATACCAGTGATTTACAAATGTTGCTGAAATGACATGATTTTCCTGGGTTTTTTCTCACTTTTTATTAAATCCACAGTCAAGCAAAAAATATGCTTATTTAAAAGCCTACATGTCAGGGTCCGCAGAACAGCGGGGCTCAGGGGACTCGAGCCCCCCCCCCCCTCACTTTTTGTATAAAGTATGTTAAAGAGAACTAGAAAGAAAGAAAGAAAGTGACCCGAGGTGAAATGAGGTATCAAAATATGTTCATCTTACAGTTAATAAATGCCTGAAACCCTTGAGCTTCCGGGGGCTGCGGCCCCTTGAACACCACGCCAATTTGCGCTCCTCTCTTCCTGATCGTAAATACTTCAACCCCCCCCCCCCCCCCCCCGCTTTAAAAAAAAAGTTCCGCGGGGCCTGCATGTAACATGTATAAGTGGTGGTGATGCAGATTGTTTTTCTACCCCTCTAAGTGTTTTTGCTCAGTATGCCACTGACAACACTTATAACAAGAACATCAGAAGAACTACTAGAACTCCTTAAAAAAGAGTGAAGGATGCAAGTGAATAATTTGGACCCTACCTCAATGTGAAAAAGACCAAGATCATGATTGGTGGAAATTAACTACATGCAACAGAGCATGGTGGTTGATGGAGAAGAAGTTGATCAAGTGGACAAGTTTATATAATGTTCTTGGGTCAATGATTGTCAAGGAGGGTGGAAGCTCGGCAATCTGCCTTTGAAATGTGGTGTTGGAGGTAGCTACTTGGGATATCATGAAGAGATTACAACACCAATGTACACAATTAATGTCCATCATCGGAGATCAACCGCCACTTGCTACCAGGATTGACAAGTACAAGCTACAATAGTTTGGTCACGTTAGCAGAAGATCAGGAGACAACCTTGACAAATTATCATTCAAGGTACCTTTGAAGAAACACGTAACAAAGGAAGACTCAAGCTCAGATGGACTGACGACCTTAGGGAAATCACTAGCCACCCTCTAAATACTAAAGACACTCTACCGGATTGCAGGAGACAGATGCCGATCAAAAGGTCTCATCAAACGGGTCACAAGGGTGAGCCATGATCTATATGACAACGACGACGACGACGAACAGTAAGAGATAGTTTCTTGGAGGGCAGCAGTGATGCGGGACTCAGTTGGAAGACTCTCGACCCGTTATGACCTCTAAATACTCTCGGATCTGTCAAACACCAAGCAAACATCATCAGATTTTCATCCACAGCGAAGCACAACCATCAATGACTGTACAAGGTTGTTCCAGTGTCTCATGCCTGGCTGACATCTCAACTTTTGTCAAATTCTATAAGTCCGTCTTTGACATGGGAGTGCTCGTTTCCAGAATCATCAAAAAGTGCTGTTGGGACTGGTGAAAGCTCTTATGACAAAATGTCCTTGACATTGACCTCTCTTGAACTTGTCTGCAGTCCTATTACTCTGGAGTAGATCAACTTTTCATAGACTTTCGTACCCCAACATTGACTTCTTCATGGCTGCCACGGTTTGAACATTCTTGGAAATTGTGACATAGAATCCACCAGGTAATTTCTTTTGAAAATCATGCATCTGTCTAGTATAGATGTCAACTGCTTTATCCACATTCACTGACGTTGGAGCAATGCTGGTCTAAATAAAGCCTATTAATTGAATAATAATGTGTCCCGTAAAACCACTTCTCACCGATTTGTTGAAAAATAAATTCTTTCATAGCCATTTTTTTTCTTGACATAATGTAGGGTAGGTGTAGGGAATTGGAGACCACCAAGCTTGAACCCATCACTGCCTGTCCGTGTTGGATCCAATATTGATAAACCGACATATGTGGCCTTCAACAGCACTACTGCATATATCCAATTCATTTCGAAGACTACAGTGCGTTCTCTCTACGAGAAAATTGGCAAAATTGACCAAGATAAGCAATTTTGATCGTAAAATTTTGCTCTGATATAAAAACACAATTTTCACTGAATGTTGTGGTGTATGCAGATATTTAGGGGTGGCCCTTAAAAAAAATAGTTTTAAAAGGAAGTTTATGAAATGTGCCAACCATCACAGAAAGTTTATGGCCACTGTGTGTTGTGAATGGGTGTTGCAATTCACATTATGAATGGTGTCTGATCAGAAATGTGTGTAGGTAATGGGGGACACCAGGTCCAAGATGGGGGCCTACTTCTCCCCAGTTGTTCATTTCATGTTGAAAGGCACTATCATGAAACATATTTGGTTGTACGTGTCACCATTCTAATTTGAATGCATTTAATTTTAAGAAGTTGTTTCTATGCTGTGAGTTTGATAAATGTAAAAGTCATATTGCCAGAACATTATTCTGAAAGTATTTTAACATATTTGAGAGCACCTTTATTACGGTAAACAAAAAACTACAGAAATATTTTGGGCCCCATTGTTTTAAAATCGTTTCAAAATTACAGTAAGTTCATTGGCTGCATGTATATCATTCAAAAAGTGTTTGAACTAACTATAACAATCCCATTTTCATTCAAATTGTATTTAAAATGTCTTGATTTGTAACTGTCCCTTATTACCTACACATGTAGGTAATGAGAGACCTTTGGTGATGACGTCATTAATCATTGTTATCTTATTAATCAGTTACATCATCACCACAATTTCGTTACCAAATAAAGAGAAAAAATACTAAAGAGAATACAAAAATGTCTGTATGTGTAACATTGTTCATGTTTATGTAAATTATGCAAATGTGCTTAAGGGTCTTCCATTCCCCACACCTACCCTATCTAAATTTGTACCAAACACGATAAAAGATTAATGCAGCACAACTGCAATTGTTTCCCCAACAAAGCATTTAATATGATTTCAACGTGACATAGATTTAAGAAATTGGCATTTGGCTGGCACACATATTTTATTCAAATTAATATGTTTATAGAGGGCGCTATTTCAAAATATGCAAATAAGCTGGTCATCTCTGGCCATGCAACACCACGAAGCATATTTTTAGTGATGGTCCTAGAGAGATACAGACATTTGGCTGCCAAAAATTGAAGAAAAAATCCTTATTATATATTTATTATTCATTTTTAAAGGAAAATCATGTACTTTGGCGGCCATTTTGTATGACGTCATATATCTTAAATTGCTCAAGGCTGACAGAGTGTCAGCAATCAGATTCTTGAAATAGAAGGTCTAAGCAATCAAAATCTATTGAAAAAAAAACTATAGACCATAAAACAAGGTTAGGCCAATAATCTGGATTTGGCTGCCGGACTATAAGATGAAGCAGGTAGGAAAAGTTAAATGTTCATGGACGTGGATACGAAAAGTGAACTTTCTGTCATAATACAAAAACAGTCTGAAGATTTCAACAATGCTGGTGACTAGTATATTATATAACATATTCTTAATTCCATATGATAATTCGAAATGCTACGGGAATGCTGATGGAGAGACGTCCATTTAAATTGTGAATGCCAATGAGACTAAATTATTTCAATTTAAAAACCTTCAAAAATGAAAAATCGAATCGAATACATAAACAAAAAATTGAGTCTCTTCGTCTTTTCTAGGCCTTTGGAATTTGCAAAGAGTTCCCTGTTTATATGTTTTCACACTTTGATGTTATGTAAAATTAGATTTTCAAAGTACTATTTCCGAATCGAATTTCAGAATAACGTTTTCCTTTGTAAATGAATAAGGATGGCAACTGTATCAAGATGTAATATTCAGAAATATGTTCAAGTCGTGTAATGTCAGCAATTGTTTCATTAAACATAATATTACAATTATATCAGATTAAGACTTTAGACACTCAATATGTAGACTCCTCCCCCCCCCCCCCCCCCCCGCTATAGAAATGTTGATGGAGCAACGGCTATTTTAATTGAAAATTGCTGATGATAATATATATATATATGAGTTTAAAACCTACAAAATAAACAATCAAATCATTTCTTCCCCGTTGTTGTGATTACGTTTCCCATCGAAAACTGTCAAATATTCTGAGCCCATTTTTCACACATTTGTGTTACGTTATTATGGAATATGATTTGAAAGTAATATCTCTATCAAATATATGTAAGAGTAACGTGTTGCTTTTGTACGTGAATGAGGGTGGCGACTACATCATCATGTAATGTTAGATGTAATACAGGATAGTAATGTCAGCAATTGTTTATCTAACGTGATGTCGTACTATTACAACAGATTGAGACTCTGAACATCCGCTCTAATAATCTCGAAAATCGTCCCAGTGCATCAAGCAATCTCGCTCAGTTCATCTGTAAGATGCCTCATCTGATGAACCTGACAGTAGGTGTTTTCTGTCACGAAGACTTCTACTCAACATCATCGGCGATGGCATCAACTGCAAAGGTATTGATTTGGTCTTATATATATTTTATGACTCTAAGAAAATCACTTCATATTTTTTATACTTCAAGTGTGCCCTTTTCTGTATAGTCGCAAGGAAGTTGATTATTTTACTCTCGCAATTGGAACGCAGTTGAGAGGAAGCAGGTATGAAAAATTAAATGTTCATGGACGTGGAAGCGAAAAATAAACTCTCCGTCATAATACAAAAACATACTGAAGATTATCAGATTAATAACGAATAATATATACCATATTTTTCATTTCATATGACAATTCGGAATGCTAACAATCGAATCTCCTTGTCTCTTCTATCCCTTTAGAAACTGCAAAGTGTTCCCTGTTTATTTGTTTTCACACTTTTATGTTATGTAAAATTAGATTTTCAAGGTAATATTTCCGAATCGAATGTCAGAATAACGTTTTCCTTTGTAAATTAATGAGGATGGCAACTGTATCAAGATGTATTGTTCAGAAATATGTTCAAGTCGTGTAATGTCAGCAATTGTTCTTTTAAACATAATGTTATAATTATATTAGATTAGGACTTAAAACACTCAATATGTAGACCCCCGCCTAAAGAAGTGCTGATGGAGTGACGGCTTTGTTTATTAAAAATTGCTGATGATAATAAATATATTAGTCCAAACCCTACAAAATAAAAAAATCGAATCATTTCTTTCCCGTTGTTGTGATTACGTTTCTCATCGGAAACTGTCGAATGTTCTGAATTTCTTCGTCCTCGTTTGTATTATTTCTATAACATGTCAGAAACTGCAAAGTGTTCCATTTATATTTGTTTTTATACTTTTTTGTAATGTTATATAAGTTTTTCAAGTACCTTTTTCAATCCTTGAATGTCAGAATAACATATTGTTTTTTATAAAAGAATGAGGATGGCAACTGTATCATAATGTAAAGCGTAAACATATTTTTAAGTAGCGTAATGTCAGCAATTGTGTATCCAATACAATGTTACTATTATAACAGATTAAAACTTGAAATCAAGTATCTGGCTCACCTCCCCCCCCCCCCCCCCCTCCCTTACTCCTTACTCATTCCGACGTGAAAATGTAGTAGGGTCAGTAAGATTACCGAATCATATGCCTGGGGGAAAAATCCCCTCCTTTCTGACAGTCACTGATCCACAACTATAATGTCGTCGATACCATTATAAGGATGTTCAGGTTCTCCCCCGAATAATGCTCAAGTTTTTCGTCAAGAGTAGTGTGATTAACCCTAATCCTCCCCCCCCCCCCCCTCCACGATTTTTCTGATTGTTCTGGAACGCATATGGATGGCGCCCCGCCGCTCGCTGACTTTTTTCTTTCGAGTCTTGCGCATCTTTGAAAAGAATGTTTTTGAAAATCGGACCTACAGTTACAAGGTCACGTGACCTTTTGTCTTTGCATGTCAGCCCGAAAATCGCTCATTTTCGTGATCTGTGTACAACTAAATAGAAATGTTATTTTTCCGAAAAATAGATCAAACATTAGTTATTGGGTCTTGTTTAAAAATTAGGTGGTTGTATTGGGAGTCAAAATAGTTGAATTGTAGTTAGAAATGAAATAAAACAACCAAAACAATAAAATACGTAAGTTAAAAAAACAATAAAATAAATAAGACATAATGAGAACAAGAGATAACATAAGGAATAAGCTGGCTCTTCCAAATTTGTTGTCGTATTATTAGGGATCTTAAGGGGGCCATTGTGCCCCCCCCCCCCGGTCGTACTAAGACCTCAAATAGCCCCGCCTTTTTAGGGGTAAGGACTGTTTTGAGACCGTTCTGCCTTCTTGTTGTATTTTCTTTTGTTCTGTAAGACTTAAGATCATGAGCCACGTCTATCATTCATATTACCCACTACTCCGTCTGTCTACAGGTCAATAAGGTCTAGAAAAATAAAATAATTTGTGTATCTGTCATGCCCTAGTCCCGTTCCGATCAATCAAAAACGCATCTGTCATTACTATTGAAATTCCTGCTAAATTCAGGTATCAAGACTTGTACATCTTTTGCAAAAAATGTGATTGTGTTAAGAGTTTTTTATTGTGGCAACGATGTTAATATAATTTAAACATACTGTTGATTCTTGAATATAGTTTTATTAGCTCGTTATTAGTATTCATTTAACATAATGTTGCTATCATTACAGATTGAGACTCTTAACATCAAGTCTCAGGATCTCAGTGAACGTCCCTCTGCATCGCGTGATCTCGCTCTGTTCATATGTAAGATGTCTCATCTGAAGAACCTGACACTCCGCGGTCAGTATCACAATGACTTCTACTCAACATCATCATCGATGGCAGCATCCGCTAAGGTATTGATGTCATTATATATTGTAGGATCTAAGCAAATCACTACGTGTTTTGTTATACTGGAAGTGTACTTTATTCTGTATAGTCTAACGAAATTTGACAATTCGCCCGCCTTCCTCCCGATAGGCCTATGCATTAAAACACATAATAAGCTAAATGTTATGGTGGTATATTTGTACCTGTAGTCACGTTTAATATTAAATATCTGTTAATTCTGCTGTCAAGTTTTACATCGGACATTCTTAAACGGCTCACTGTTTATTGAAATTCAAGTAATATTATGAATTCACACTACACTACACTACATCGATAACGGTTTAAATGTACTTGTGATATAAAATTATTTAGTTTGTAATCACTTTCAATATTACTATTTAAAACTCTAAGAAATTTATGCCAGTTACATTGTATTTGATTGTTGTATATACGAAGCACGGAATACTTGCATTTGACTGATTTGAAATTATTTAGTAGGTGTTCATCCTAACGTATACTAATTTAGACTGGTCTTCATATCATTGAATCTATAAACGGTACTTGCCTTTAACATATTTATATATTGGTAAATAACGAATAATATACATGTACAATTGAATTGTATAAAAGAAAAATAAATTATAACTTGTAACCTATACTTGCATTTGCATATAAAGCCATCTTTCATTTGCTCGGCTCATGTCTTTTTATAATCCTTGTTTATATTCTACAATACCCATGAGGCTAGCAAAAAACATTTTCATGTTTTTTGTCGCTTTTTTCATGAAACTTAAGAATGCAATTATATACCTACCAACAATCGAACCTACTAAATTAGTTATTGCACTTTAATTTCCCTTTTTATGTTCATGATCACGACCAGAGTGGTAACACGAGCCCCACCTTGACTGAGCTGACAGTAGAGGATAAGACACTACGAGGATGGCAGGATTGTGGTTCGATGTTCGACAATGTGAAGAGGGTCGCTATAGAGGTATGGGACACAATCAACTGTGACGTCATCCAGAGGATCCATCTACCAGGAGCAACAGAACTTACCATTAAAACACATGTGTATGCATCTCGACCGACTGGTTTCCATAAGGAGCCTACTTCACTCCCCAAAGCCCTTCTGAATATCTCCCCTCAGCTTGTCAAGGTGACATTCAGCGATCTTGACATTGGCAACAGTAAGATGGAGCTAATCTTACAAGCTTTCAGATCACCTCACAACCTCAAACACCTGAAGACTATCAGGTAAGAGTAAGACACATTGTGCTTTCAAAGAGCACTTTTACAGAGTCAATAGAATCTTACAATCTTACAGCTGTTCTACTATAAATTGAAGAGTCTACATGATAAAACAAATAAGATTAAAAGTTCCATCATTATGAACAAATATATTACAAACATTGTTAACTCCTGTAACAATTAAGCCCCCATTCCTAATTATTTTACATAGATGATACTGTATTCCGTCTATTTTTATATCGGTAGATTCGTGAGATGCGGGACAGATTTAAGCGTGAATGATGTCAACACTGCATGCAATGAAGACCACGACATGGAGGTGGAGGTGGAGCATGGCAAACGATGTGTGTAAGTCCTTAGAACTTTAACTTCTAGACTTGCATAGCCATTAATGACTGCATAACATTTTTGTATGACTGCATGTCTCTTAAATCCTCTGCGATAATCAGTGTTGGTGTATCTTTCGCACGATCACAAGTATTTTGTTCATCTCAGGAAGGATGTGCAAAATTAAAAGCCGCCTTCCTCTTTTGTTAACTTTAACGACTTACTGGCTGACTAGAATGCAGCAAAAAGGAGGTCTAGTTTTAGAATTAGTGGGAGACTAGCACGCATGCTCGTCTCCTCATGCCAGTCGTTTCTGATATTCATTCAGACGCGAGGTCTGCTCAAAACGCCCTGCTTGTATTTTAGTATACGGAAATAGAAAACAAAATTATCTTAACAAATTATTACAAGCATGAGGTTATTTCCCGTCTCGGGAGAAGAGGAGGGGGATGAAGAATTGTTTCTCATTACAGAAATAGTTTTTTTGTTCTTATGTTTATTTTTGTATTTGTGTATTGATCGATAATGATACGAACTGACATTATGTACCACTCATGATCGCACATGAACCAATCATTGCAAAATGTAACAAAGAGTCGGCAAAGGCGTGTACATAAAAAAAATATTCTATTGGAAATGGGTAATAATTAATATTTCAATTTGCCCATTGGAAAAATATAGGCCGGATTCTAGAAGTGATAAAGTAAAGGTATTTATTCTTTTTTTAACATGATAACATGTAGACCTATTCATATAATTGATTCTCGCATTTTTGTACTATTATGTTTTTTACGTTATAGATAACTTGTTAGTTCAAATGGTGCTGTACTTTGACGTAAAACTGTGTAATATTCAACAGCTCTTCTTCGTCCTCTGTCTACTGTATGTATGTGAAGTTTGTTATGTAGTGCTGCTTCTATATATTATATTGATGCACACATTAACAATTATCTCTATCTCTCTCTCTCTCTTTCTCCATCACTTTAGTAAATATTATTGAGTATTCATACAGATGACACTGTACTCGATCTGACGAATCAGAGGGATCAGACGATCTTTGCTTGCCAACAGGAACTATATATTATGGGTTGAAGTGAAGAATACACAAAACGCATCATTATAGACCTATCATAATCGCTCAACGTTTAATTTGAAATCCGGACTTTGGCTATTACAAATACAACTGCCATGCAATCGAGTTACTCATCCAATGAATCACGTTGATAATCATTTAATATAATTTGGATCGGTGTTCTTTACATCGATTATATGGCTCTTTTTCTTTCATTGATGAAATCATGATTTTGAATTCCCTTTGAACTGTTATTCTCAGTATCATTAAGCAGTTCAGGATTCAGGAAGAATTTACACTTATTTTTGTGTTAATTGTAAAAGGGCCAAAATGTTGTAAAGTTTTCTGAACGTATGGTGGCAAAACATTCATTCTGTAAACAAAATACAGTCATTTCTGTTCTAATTTGAATTTTGCAACTGTCAGTGTTTCATTCAAAACATTTGTCGTGTACAAAATGAGGGCCCACAAATTTCCCTTATAGATAGAAGACCACAGTATGTTGATCTTAAATTTTGCAAACACTTTCATAAAATTGCTGCTCCAGATAAAGTTTGACATAAGTTTCTGATGGCTTGCGAATCACTGAAAGGGACCTTTAAACATATACATGTATATAATGAAATTAACATGTGTTCTCATGGAAGAAGATCCTGCTCAGTTAATCATGAACATTTGAAAAATCTTCAGAGTTGGGACGTCTGTAAATAAGGTGATGAATTGATGTGAGCTGTCATTGAGAAGGGAATCGGATAGAATTATAATTTGGTTGTCAATGGTTGCCTGCCAAAATTAGAATCCATCAGAGTGTTCAATGTCATGGAAGGATGAAAGACCAACACTAAATATCCGATCAGGCTTAGGACAGAGATTTATTCACGCTATAGTCACGTGACTTTTGAAAATACCAGTTCTTCTTTAATCTTAGTAAATGCAACAATGTTGCCTTGCCTTGTTACTCAGCTGTAAATATAGTGCATTCCTAAGATTTATTTACATAACTACTTTTGGAATGGATAATATGTTATCGTTGATAATTATGTGTGCGGTCAGCGCAGTAGAGTATATTTATATAGTGGCTGCGCTATATAAATTTATCTAATTATTAAAATTGCATTGGAGCTCCTAGCGTATGACTGCGTCAGCGACTGACGTAGACATTGACGCACCGTTTGAGAGTAATATCGTTACACAAAGTGAGTGCAAACTGAATGATGCAAACCTTTCTTCAAATTAAGAGCGTCATAGTCCGAACTGAATCACCTCAGTCGGTTAGTGGAAGTATCAATGCAATGTCAATATTGCCTTGTGTAATATGTACATTTTTTCAAATGATGTCTGTGCCATTAAAATCAATCATTTTTTATGATTTATTTATTACGTTTTATGTTTAAAGAGCGTGGTCTTTTCAGAGCCAGAAGGCTTGTTTTGATTGAAACATTCGGATGTATTCATGTACAAAGATATTTTATAATTATAAACAGAAAATATATTCAATGGCAGTAATTGGCGGTCTTAAAAGCAAATGTATATAACAAAGAATGTAACGGAAAGTAATTGAATAATGAACAATAAAATGAATGTATACACAGAACAAACAAACGAATATTTGAATTGTAAACTGAGAAACGATTTTAGCATTCAGATGTGTAAATTGAAGATAATTTTAGTATCAGTTGTCATGTAATTTCACACAAACACAAGAGTGTTACGGTAAATTGATCTAAGATGTATCCACGACCAGACATTAAAGGAAATGTAACTAGTTATGTATCCTTCATGGCCCTTGCAAAAAGGACAATGAAGACAACATTTCTTTCACATATAACGCTGTATTATTTTGTTATCCAGTATATTTTATGTATGAACTCTTGCATGTGTTACGTAAAAGGTTTGTTTGTATTTAACAGTTTGATTTGGAAAGGGAAGCTGTCTTGTCTGATATATTCATATGAGTTTTTACTTTTGTCTGTAGATAATTTGTAAATAACGTAGCCAAATGGTTGGTGCCCATACAAAGGATTGTCTTTGCAACGAAAGATATTAATCACTGACTAAGTATAAATGTATAGGAATGTCAAATATCCAAGCAGATGTTTTTTTTCTTCTACAAGTTCAACTAATGATTGTACACTATTAAATTCGATGCAAAAACATTATTAAGTTAATTCACGAACCATCAAACTTAATATTCGAAATGCATTTCTGCACTTTCTGTAATCATGGTAAATGTGCACCGAGAAATGTTTGCATTCTGCGAAAGGCCCAATTAATCACTAGTTATAATAGTAGCATCATTTTTAGTAGTAGTAGTAGTAGTAGTATTTTTGTATTTGTTGGTATTTTATTTATTTAATCACGGTTAAAAAGCCTGCTATCAGCTAGAAGCTGCTTTTCAGCAAGGCCGTGAACAACAATTGAACACAACAAGTAAACGAATACATAATTATATACAAAATAAACCATAAAAATGATCATAACAACATAATAAGATGAAAACAAACAAAATGAATCAAAAATTACTTGGATAACAGAAACGATGGAGGGGTGTATTATTTAAGAGAGGGATATAAGACGTGCGAATGTTCCCAGGCTATTTTTCTAATCGGATGTTTGCCGGTTGGTTATTGACAAGTTTTGAGGCTGAGTAGAAAGGGCTCTTTCTGAGGTAATTTGTATGTGGTCGTGGCAGTTGAATTTGGCAATCGATATTACATAACGGGTAGTTGTGTGATTTAAGATGGATCCGTGAGGGTGGGGCTATGTTATTAACTAATTTGAATACAAGTACAATTGACTGCTTATTCCATCTTTCGTCGAGTTGATCGACATTTAGCGTGTTATACAAAGTGGCTCTATTGAAACGATTATTTACCTCTAAAACGGACCTTAACGTTCTATTCTGTAAAACTTGGAGACGATTTAGCTGGCTTTCATTGCCATTTCTCCAGACTGTAGTAGTAGTAGAGTTAGTAGTAGTAGAAGTAGTAGAAGTAGTAGTATTAGTAGTAGTAAAAGTAGTAGTAATAGTAGTGGTTGGTGTAGTTATTGTCTTGTTGATGATGTGTTTGTTGTGGAGTATTAGTATAAGAAGCTGTGTTGATTCCTTTCAGACATGTTCAGTGTGGGTGTTATATTGTTAAAACGCCGAATATCGTTTACTGAAACTTATTATTTTGTTTACATTTATTAGATTATAAAGAATGACGTACGTCCTTTATTTACATGTAGGTCTATTTTGTTTAACATGTGACTAACTATATATATATTGGAATCCATTATGTTGAATATAACTGTGATGAATTATTTTATCCTCATTGAATTATTGTAATATATATTCATGAGAATGCATGACAATTTATAACGCGGTTATAGTATAAGTTATCATATAGCCCTTAGTATTTAAATGTAAATAATGCAACGTGCCTTAAATGTACATACCTATGCTTTGGTATATTGTGTATGCTCCTATTATATGTAGTTTAATGTATTTCATTAAACATGGCTATATGTGTAATTGTGATTTTTTTTTTTTTTTTTAAGAATACAAATATTCTGCAGTGCCATGTAAAGCCCATAGGGTCTTTATAGATCATACTGATCTGAGAATTCTAATTTTTTTGAACTATTTTCAGGTAGTCATGTATTTTTCCACATTATTGAGAACATTTGATCTTATTCTACAACTGTTTCATTAAGTTTTACTCAAGTCTATGATTCAGATGCCTAGGGTTATCACCCCATTACTCACCCTTTGTATGTGTGTATATAAGTGTGCGTGGGTGTGTGTATTACACATTTAGAGGAATAAAAAAAAAAAAAAATGTATGCGTGCGTTTGTGGATGTATAGTGTAGCAATACAAGGATAAGGCAGAGATTTTTAAGAAAACGTTGACTTTGGACCACTAGTCTACGTCGTCAACACTTGCCTTTTTTGCTGAGCTGGGATGTG